CTCACCTGCCGCGAGCTTTGACAGCAATTGGCCAGTGGCATGGGGCAAAGGTGGGGGGGCCACGTGGAGGCCGTTTCTGTGTTTGACACATTGCTGCACCTGGAGACTCCATGCACGTTCAAGCAGACCTCTGACCTCTTTTCGGCTGCAGGAAGACAGTAAACCCGACTATTATCAAGACCCTTGATACAAGCATCATCGTCCATGGAGAGGCCCAAACGCTGGAACGTAACGGCCAGGGCCGTGGCAGGACCATGTACCTGTCTCACTCCAACTCTTTCATTGGTAAGGGCAACAACTGAGCAGGCAGTGAACGTATCTCGCAGGCAGGCTCGGCGGAGCGCAAGGAGCTGCTGTTCGGCACAGTAAAGTTGAGGGTCCTGCACACAGTCCGTAAGTGCGCCCAGCGCCAAGTGGGGCGAGAGGATGCGGTAGTCGCCTGTGATGGCTCGGGCTGCTTTGCCTCTCAAGGTTTGCAAGTCGGCAAGCGAGAAAGCATGTCCTTCACTGCCATACAAACATTGGGGCCAGATGCCTCGTTGGATCAAGGAGGCCTTTTCAAGCACGGACCGGGGCTGCTGACGCAGCCTCTCGAGGCGTTGGGCCCCTTCCTCCAGACGGTGGTTACGGGCAACCCGGTGCATACGACCATCGTACTTATAGGCGATCCCCAAATCCTTGGCCTCGCAAACAAGAGCCGGCAGGAAAAGGTTCGGTCGAACTCTTTGCCACGACAGTCGGTCGGGGCGTTGAGTGGCCCATGGGTAGGACTTCTTCCAGTCTATCGGGAGACGCAGACTGTCCAGGAAGCGCAATGCTTTCGGCACGGCTGCTTCAACTGCTGTGGTTGATTCACCCGACCACGCCCAGTTATCAACGTAAGAGTCGAAGACAACACCATCAGTGGCACAGAGGTTATGAGCCCAAAAGCACAGGCCGGCCATGGCGGCAACGGAAAAGGGGTCTCCCTCGGGTGCACCGTTATAGCATCTGATGGCGGGGCCAAGGTCGCCCAGAAAGGCAGAGCGGCGTTCCATTTTTGACAGACAAGTGAACCAGAACTCCAGCACGTCCCTGGGAAGGCCCAAAGCGTGAAGCATGTGGTAAAGTGGGGCCCAGCCGAGCTGATTGAAGCATTTGACAATGTCAATGGACAAACCCAGTCGCGGGCGTTTATGCACCAGAGCACATTCAATGGCGTGTTGCTGGCGGTAGCTGAGGTCACGACTGGAGCGGCCCGGGAGAGACCCAGCAATGTTCTCCGGAAAATGCGGGGCCCACTCCTTCAAAACCTTACGGGTGAGGCAGGACGACCAGACTCGGTACAGGGTGCTGTAGATGGTAATCGGGCGACTCTGCCGAATGCTGTCGGGAGCAAACACCTTGGCAAGCACGCTCACCCGAGCCTGCAGCATATGTGCGGGCATGCCGACCTGAACTGCACGTTCAATCATGAGTTGCAGCACTTCAGTGGCTTCTGGCGGCAGAAGTTTCAGGTCACTGACGGCCCATCCGCAGACACCTGTGGCCTTCCTGCTTGACATACGCTTGATAGCGTCTCTCCAAACGTCCGGCGCAGTGGAACAAAGAAACCGGGGGCAATGAAATGTTGGAGCCGGCAACCAGTTCCCCAAACTCGGGCCAATGATCTAGACTTGGGGCCGTGGCATGGTCACGCTGCCACAACGGACTCCAGCAGTCCGAGAACACGCGGTGGAGTTCATTGGCAGTGCAAGCCACCGAATCCTGGACCAACAAGCCGGGCTGAAGTGGCTCGCCCTGCAGAAGAACGTGATCACCAGCCACGTCGATCACGTGGCACTCGATTTGGTCAAGACGGGCAACCGCCCCAACTCGGAGGGAAGGGCCAGGCACAAACTGAAACCAGCTGTGCGCGGGGGGCGCGGGTCTGCTAGTGGGAGACAGCTGCACGGAGACCTGGCAGGGGACCTCAGTAAACGGAGGCGGGGTCGGCCCGCGTATGGTCTGAAAGGCACCACGGTGATGCCCATGTTTCTGGTCAAGCACAAGTTTGTATTTGAAAGAGTCCCGTCTTTGCTTGGCCTGGGAACGAGCGAAGGCATTACAGTCAAACTGCAAATAGGCCAGCAGATCCGACAGCCAGTCAGGGGACGGCAGGGCATCCGGGAAAGTGTTGAAACAAGCAATCTGGAGTGTCCAGGTCACGAAATCAGGCGGGAAGCCCTTGGCGTTGCGGAATGCACTCCACTCACTGGTAAGGTTAGTACGCAGCTGCTCAGCCACAGCGCTGGAGGTGGTCCGATGGAGCTTGAGAAGGCCTCGCAGAAGTGTCTGGGCTCTTCGGACCTGCCGCACACGCATATGGCCTTGTACACTCGTAACCTCCTCATCGGGCGTGCAGTCGCCGGTGTGGGTGGGGCGGGTCGGACAACACTGCGAACTGTCCGTTGCACAATCGGTCGGTCAACACAGCGGCCCCGATAAGCCTTGGGGAGGCAACGGTGCGGGTACCTCAGTGGATCCTTAGCATGCTGGCGGGAAAGGGCAGTGTCCACACAATCCTCGACGCTCTGGGAGAAAGCGAGCAGAGTTTGGGCGACCTCTTGCTCCGAGGTGCAACTTTGGGCTTGCCGGGCCAGTGCAGGCGCAACAGATTGAAAGGCAGCCTGGATCGCCGCAGGTTCAGGCGACAAAGACGACCATGCACGAGGTAAATTCCAGCTGCGCCGAGTGGGTTGGTGCGAGCACACCTGGAGCCGAAAACACAGTGGGTCGTGGCTGTCGAAGAGGTGCGACTTGTCAAGCACCCAAGCGGAGTGCCACAGGGGCAGCAGGGTAGGGTGGAGCAGAGCAGTGTCATGGCGTGTGGCCCCTTTGCACGTGGGTGGTAGGGCCGTACCAGTGGTACGCTCATGAAGCTCAAAGATTTCCCGGTATCCCAACGAGTGCAGCTGAGCACCACTTGGTAGTTCCAACACTGGGCAGTTGAAATCCCCTCCAATTATGGTCGGGACACAGTTGCTGGTGGCACGCATTAGCACCTGAGACATCAATTCTTCAGTCCTTTCCCTGGCGTCAGGATAGGACAACGGGTAGCCGTAGACAGTCAACAGGCGAACTTCCAACACTCCCAGACGGATAAAGGCCTCCCCGATGCGGCAAGTGGCCAATGTGGCAGGTGCTAACGCAGGTGATGCGGCTCTGCACGGCAAACGCGAAGTAACGGCGACTCCAGCCGCCAAACCGCGTAGGCAGACCTTGTCAGATCCCTCACGTTGGTGGGACGGAACGGGTGCCCCCCAAATGGTCTTAAAGCCGTGCTGGCGAAGCTGGTGGCCCACCAGGGCTTGTACTTGCGAGACGGCGGAGGTCTCAGAGAGGCAAATGACATCTGCTGCAGTTTCCAGGAGAGTGTGGGTTCTGTGGAGAATGCTGGTGGGATTCACCACTGCAATGACACAAGAGTCGGACGGTCTCTCGGCCTCCGAGAGCGCGGCCTTAACAGTGTTGCGCACCGGTGCTCGCCGTGGACGGCTTTGGCAGAAGTGCACAGCGCCCTGAGCTTGCAACGGGCCGGGGCTCGCGGGGAAAAACGTCTGCCAAGCCTCGTTATTGTTTGCAGCTGTAGTCCCCCAGCAAGAGGCAGATGCACCGTTGAATGTGAGGACATGGTCAAGCAAATCCCGGTCACGGGAGCACAAATGCAAGGCAGGTGGCTGTTCTTGCGGCGCCTGAGCGCGGTCACCTGGGCAAAAATTAGCCCGGACGCCTGGGAACAAAGCCCAGGAAGGCGGCTGTTCTTGCAGAACCTGAGCGCGGTCACCGGGGCAAAAATGATCCCGGACGCCTGGGAACAAAGTCCAGGAAGGCGGCTGTTCTTGCGGAACCTGAGCGCGGTCACCGGGGCAAAAATGAGCCCGGACGGCAGCCCCAGGAAATGGCACTGTGGAGGGACTAGGTGGCAGGAGGCGGCACGCGAGGCGCGGCATTGTGCAGGAGGCAACAGTGATGTTCTGGAGCAAGGGGAGCACAGTGGGGTGACAGGGTGTTGCTGCCCACGGCAGGCTCCACAGTCAATGCAAAAAGCAGGAGGGAAAGGAACGAGGCGGAAGGGCCTGGAACGGGTAATCAGTACAAATCCCCGGGGCTATCTCCGCAGGGACTGGGGTCCACGCACATGCGGCATCCTGCTTGGAAAAAGGACAGCAACAAATGGTCCGAGCAGGGCAGGAGGCAGTGCAGCGAAAGCTTAAAGCACACCCATGCCAAGGAAGGGGCTCGCCGTAATCCACGAGGCCTTGTACAGAAGAAAGACAATGAGTGGCCACAGTGGCGCAATGCGAGATTGTGGAGACAGGATCACACAGGCGGATGTTTAGCGGGCCAATACCCCGAGGCCCAAGGTCAGTACTGACAGTGATGGTGCCGAGGAGCGTCTCCGAGTTTCCAAACCAAGAACAGGATTCACACACCGGGCGGCCGGCAGCACACGTTTCAACTTGCTGTGGGCACGGTGGCGACAGAGTGCATGCCCAATGGCAACCCCAGCACTCAGGAACAGAGTAAAATGCCAGCGCGTCCGAGTACAACAGATGACAGTATTTGCTGCCGACAGGCAGGGGAAGACCAAATGCAGCAGCGGCGCCCAGGAGGTGCCCTGCAATGCGACCAAAAGCTGACACTTGCGGCCAGCAGATAACACCTGGCAGAGGTTGAACCCCATCCCCTGTCCAGTGCTGAAAAGGCCCCCTGGGGAGCGCAGCGCTCCCGAAACGAAGCTCGCAGAGAGGGAGTGACGACAGTCACAGTTCATCAGCGCCATTGAGGCGGGGTTTCTTGTTCTCAGCCTGAGCCAGCAAGAGGGCCTTAAGTTCGGCCATACCATGGTTCATCTGCTGTTCCTGCTGCGCCTGTGCTGTCCGAAGGCTGTCAATGCTCGACTGAAGCTGCTGCTGCAAACCTGCGCCTAGGCCCTGCACCTCGCCTCGAACACTGTGCATCTCCTGAGAGAGGTGGTGGCGATCCTGCTGCCACTGCTGGTGGGCTTGCTGTTGTTCGTCACGCAACAGAGAGAGACTCTGTTCCAACGCAGCAATGCGGTTGTCTTGCTCCTGGAGGCGGGCCCTGGCAGGCGGGCCAGGACCTGAACGGGTGCAGATGGAGCAGGTGTCTGAGAGGCACTGTAGCCACTCCAAGGATCACTCTCCAACCAGGGATCCGCTTCAGAAGACTTGGGGCCGTCACGCGTGTCTTTCTGCGGTGGCCGTGGGCATGGAACATGAGTGAGTCACAGAGGTGGGGTTGGCACGCCCGTTGCACCGAAAAGAGCGGCCCCATGGCTGGGACAGGGGCTGCGGCTGCGAGATGCCCTGAGACCGGAAACGCTCAGTGACTGCACGAACTGGGGCCTTGACGACCTCCTGCCAAGTGGCATCAGATGGGGCCTCATCCTGATACATCGCAAAGGAACAGCACACAGTATCCGCAAGGGCAACCTGTACTGAGTGTTCACTGTAAGGGCGTATATCCGTCTCACCGACGTTATGAAAACAAGCGGCGAGCAGGTGCTTCTTTCCCGTGCCTCGGTCTTTAACCGGAACATTGCAGGCACCAGAGCATGTGTCAGGATCAGGACACCGGTGGCCAGGGACCACCAAGCACAAAGCTTCGGAGCACATGTTTTGCAAAAGGGCATTATCTTGCGCATTGGCAACGGAAGCGTCGACCAACATCACCCCGGAGGCCCCATGGGAGATGCGTTGCAGCACTGGTACGGGCTCCGGCAACAACTCAAAATCCGGAGCTGCAACCGACTCCGCAGCCTGCAATCGGCGGCGCCGTATGGCCTTTTGAATTCGTTGGGCTGCTTTCTCAGTACGGTTGTCCCCGGCAGGCAGGTCAATGCCAGCAGGATGCGCAACTTGGCAGAGGCGCTGAAAGCGGACAGTAGCATCCGGTAAGGACAACGGCTCCATACATGCAGAGGCACCGAGTTTGCTCACAAGACGGTCCACCGCGACCGTAACCTCCGCCAAAGAAACACCCCTATCAAGCAACAAGGCAGCGCAGCGGCTCTTGGCCAACTGGACTTGATCATCCTCATTGCCGCCACCGCGAGTTTCAGGGAAAACAGTCAATGCAAGAGTACGCTGGGCGCCTTTGGTCTGGACACGGCCCTCGGCAGCAAGTTGTGACACAGGGCACTGGCAGTCAATTGGAAATGGGCCAGAGTAAACTCTCGCAATCGGCCAGCAGTCGAAACAACGGCACGCAGTATGCCAGAATTTAACAAGCTGAGCCGCAGTAAGGTCTGCAGGGACTCGGCCTACCCAGATGACGCGACCCTCGACCTGCAGAGCGACAGGTCCGAACGTGAACAAGTACCATAGCACGCGGGGTGCATAGAAGCACCAGGTCAGAGTCAGCGGCCTGACTCATTCCGCCCGCACTG